GAAAAAAAAGGGGCCCCCCCCCCGGGGAAAAAATTTTAAAGGGAAAAAAAATTTTTAAAATTTTTTTGGGGTTCCCGAAAAACCCCTTTTTTTTAAATTTTTCCCCCCCCGGGTTTTTTTTTTTTCCCCTTTTTTCCCCCCCCCGGGGTTAAAAATTTTTTTTTTTTAAATTTTTTTTTAAAAAAAATTTTTTGGAAAATTTGGGGGGGTTTTTTTTTTTAAAAAATTTTTTTTTAAAAGGGGGGGGGGGGCCCCCCCCCCCCCCTTTTTTTTTTTTTTTAAAGGGGGGTTTTGGGGGAAAAATTTTTCCCTTTTGGGGGGAAATTTAAAAAATTTTTTTTGGGGGGGGCCAAAAAAGGGGTTTTGGAACCTTTTTCGGTTTTTTTAAAAAATTGGGGAATTAAAAAAAATTTTTAAAAAAAAAAAACCCCCAAAAAATTTTTTGGGCCTTTTTTTATTTTTTTTTTAAAAAAATTAATTTTTTTAAAAATTTTCCCCCCCCCCCCCCCCCCCCGGGGGGGTTTTTTAAAAAACCCCCCCAAAAAGGGTTTTGGGGGCGGGGGGGGGGGGGTTTTTTTAAAAAAAAAATTTTAAAATTTTCGGGGAAAAATTTTTTTTAAAAAAATTTTCCCAAAAAATTTTTGGGGTTTTTGGGGGGGGGGGGGGGAAAAAAAAAAAATTTGGGTTTTTAAAAAGGGGGTTTTTAACCCCCCCAAAGGGGGGGGGAAAACCCCCCCCCCGGGGGGGGGGGAAAAAACCCCCCCCCGGAATTTGGGGCCTTTTCCCCCCAACCGGGGCTTTTTCCCCCCCTTTCCCCCCCGGAAACCCCGGGCCGGAAAGGGGGGGGGGGCCCTTTTTTTTTTTCCCCCCCCGGGGGGGGGGTTTTTTGGGGGGGGCCCCCCGGGGGGGCCCCCTTTTTGGGGGTTTTTTTCCCCTTTGGGGGGTTTGGGTTTCCGGGGGGGGGAACCCCCCAAAAATTTCCCCCGGGCCCCCCCCCCCCCAAAAAAAAAAATTTTTTAATTTTTAAATAAAAAAATTTTTTAAATTTTTTTTTTTTGGGGTTTTAAAAAGGCCAAAAATTTTAAATTTTAATTTTTTTAAGGGCCCTTTTTCCTTTTTTTTCCCCCCCCCCCTTTTTTTCCCTTTTTTTTTTTTTTTTTTAAAAAAAAAAAAAAAATTTGGGGGAAAAAAAATTTTTTAAGAGGGGGGGGTTTTTTTAAAAAATTTTTTTTTTTTAAAAAAAAAAAAAATTTTTTTCCCCCCAAAGAAATTTTTAAAAAAAAATTTTTTTTAAAAAAAACCCCCAAAAAAAATTTTTTTTTTTTTAAAAAAAAAAATTTTTTTTTCCCCCCCCCAAAGGGGGGGGGGTTTTTAAAAAATTTTTTTAAAAAAAAAACCTTGGAATTTTTTTTTAAAAAAAAAAAAATTTTTTTTTTTTTTTTAAAAGGGTTTTTTTTTTTTTTTTTAAAATTTGGGGGGAAAAACCCCCCTTTTTTTAAATTTTCCCAAACCCTTTTAAAAAAACCCCTTTTTTTATTTTAAAATTAAAATTTTTAAATTGCAACCTCTTCAAAGGGGCCCTTTTTTTTTTAAAAAAAAAAAAAATTAACATGTTTTTTTTTTTAAAAAAATTTGCCTTCAAGAAATTGTGGCCAATTTCCCAAAAAGGCTTTCTAGATGTGGTGGCAAACCAGGGGCAGCACTGACAACCCTTGGGCCCCCGGGCAATCGGGGATTCATGGGGCCCCTGTGGTCCTTGGCCCAAACTCAGAAAAGACCTATATGAAAAAGGTACCAGGGGGACATCTCATGGGGCCGCCCGTCAGTGCCGAGATTCCAAAGTGGTCAGGTCCTCCCCTGGGTTGACAACTGGAAATTCCCATTTTATCAGTGTCCAAAGAAAGACAATTTTCTTTTAATGGATACTAAGGGGTGTTGGCTTACTACAAACTGGAGACAATGCACCAATTGGTGATGCTCCGCATAGAAACTCAATTAGGTTCCATCGTTTTATTCCATTCCATAGGTGTTACTGCAAAGCTTAAATTGAACAAGCTGAAGCTAGAAACTAATTGGGCTACCATGCACTACGCACCAGATATCTGAGTGCACCAACATAAATCTCCCCTAAATACCTGCTTAAAGTGGTTCTAAAAGGCTCAAGGTTATTGACCTTCATGCATTCTATGCATGAAGGGTAAAAAAAACCTTTTGTGTGTGAAGCATCCCCCCAGCGCCCCTAATATACTCACCTAAGCCCCCTCTCGATACCAGCAATGTGCACTGGAGTCTCGTCTATCCTGGGACTCCCAATTCTCATTGGCTGAGACAGAAGCGGGAAGCCATTGGCTCCCCCCTGTTGTCAAGCACAGCCAGTGAGCTAATGAGAAGAGGAGGGTGAGTGGGCCGCTTGGCCGGGCCGAGCCCACGGCCCTGTGTGTGAATGGATACATGGAGCAGCAGGTGCCCCCATAGCAAAGCTGAGCTTGCTGTGGGAGCACCTGACAGGAAGGAGGGCCAGCGGCCAGTTGTTCCGGCAGGGGACCAGAGAATGATCCGGGCTGCTCTGTACAAAACACTGCACACAGCAGGGTAAATATAGACATGTTTGTTATTTTTTCTCTGAGAAATTATATGTAAAAGTCCAAAGAAAAAGTCCCAAATTAAGTCCATTAAAATACTGTCCATTTAATTAGTTCTCAGTTTTTTCTGGCTTGTGGTTCTGAAAAAGAATATATATTGTAGGAGGATCAAACACTGCCTTGTATCTCCATCTTGCATTGTAGCACAGTAAAAACACTTTCATGATGTGCTGCAAGTCTGTGCTATATTTCTTGCTTTTAAATGTGACATAATAAATTGCATTTTTTATGCAAATAAAATATGCTTCATCTCTTCATCTGACTAGTGGGCAAGTACAAATTGCTTGCCTAATGGGCAATTGATTGTATCGCTACAATTTTTAGGGTTGCTGTGTTTGGAATATTGTAATCTAATATTTTTTTCATGGATCAATTAATCCATTTCTCCCTCTTACAGTGTGAAGCTCGAAAAAATTAGAATATCGTGCAAAAGTTTCATTTATTTCAACTCGCTAAAGCAAGCTAAATTTTATTTTAAAAGTGAAAAAAAAGTCTATTATATGAGATAGACTCATTACATGCAAAGTGCAGATAGTTCAAGCCGTTATGTTTGTCATAATTGTGATGTGATTATGGCTTACAGCTCATGAAAACCCCAAATTCCACAATCTCAGAAAATGAGATATATTGTGAAAAGGTGCAATTATTCTCGGCCCACTCTAATCAGCTAATTTAAGCCATAACACCTGCAAAGGGTTCCTGAGCCTTTAAAATGGTCTCTCAGTTGGTTTCAGTAGGAATCACAATCATGGGAAAGATGCTGACCTGACAGTTGGGACAGAAAACCATCATGACACCCTCCATAAGGAGGGAAAGCCTCAAAAGGTAATTGCAAAAGATGTTGGATGTTTCCCAAAGTTGCTGTATCAAAGCACATTAATAGAAAGTTATGTGGAAAAGGAAAAGTGTGGAAGAAAAAGGTGCACAAGCAGCAGGGATGACCGCAGCCTGGAGAGGATTGTAGGAAAAGGCCATTCAAAAGTGTTGGGGGACAATTTCACAAGGAGTGGACTGAGGCTGGAGTCAGTGCATCAATGAGCCACACACACAGACGGATCCTAGACATGGGCTTCATATGTCGTATTCCTCTTGTCAAGCTGCTCCTGAACAACAAACCAGGTCAGAAGCGACTTACCTGGGCTAAAGAAAAACAGACACTGGTCTGTTACTGACTCGGTGGTCCAAAATCTTCTTTTCTGATGAGAGCAACTTTTTGCAGAAGAATGGAGAGGCACACACTGCTAGATGCTTGAAGTCCAGTGTGACGTTTCCTACAGTCTGTGTTGATTTGGGGAGCCATGTCATCTGCTGGTGTTGGTCACTGTGCTTTATTAAAGTCCAGAGTCAACGTAAGCCGTTTCCTCTACCAGGAGATTTTGGAGCACTTCATGCTTCTTCCGCAGATGAGCTTTATGTGTGGATGCTGACTTCATTTTCCAGCAGGGACTTGGCAACCTGCCCACTCACTGCCAAAAGCACCAAAACCTGGTTCAGTGACCGTGGGGATTAACTGTGCTTGATTGGCCAGCAAACCTCGCCTGACCTGAACCCCATAGTGAGTAATCCATGGGGCATTGCCAAGAGAAAGATGAGAGACATGAGGACCGAACAATGCAGAAGAGGCTGAAGGCCGCTATTGAAGCATCCTTGACTTTTCCATAACACTCAGCAGTGCCACAGGCTGATAGCTTCCATGGCCACGCCGCATTGAGGCAGTAATTGCTGCAAAAGGGGCCCACAAACCAATACTGAGTACATATGCATGCTATATACTTTTCAGAGGTCTGATATTGTTCTATGTACAATCCCTTGTTTTATTGATTGCATGTAATATTCTAATTTTCTGAGATTGTGGATTTGGGGTTTTTCATAAGCTGTAAGCCATAATCATCACAACATTATGACAAATCACGGCTTTGAACTATCTTGCTTTGCATGTAATGAGTCTATCTCATATATTAGTTTTTCCACCTTTAAGTTGAAGTTACTGAAATAAAAATGAACTTTTGCACGAATATTCTAATTTTTCGGAGCTTCACCTGTACATTGATGCCTTGGGCCACAATCGAACTGCTTACATGTTCTCCAGCTACCGAGTGAAAACTTTAGCTATTAACCTCTGAAACCATGACATTGTGCTTTTCTTTCTTGTTCGTCATAACCAGGTTGACATTTTGTTCAACTTTGTACCTGTGTTTTGAGAATGTTAATCTACGCTGTAACTGTTCTAGAATCTGCCTGTTATAATTACCGTATTTTTCGGTCCATAAGATGCACCTAGGTTTTTTGAGGACAAAAACAAGAAAAAAAATATTCTGAACAAATGGACTGCAGACATCGTACAGGAAATGACCAGAGACTGCAGACAGTAACAGGAGATGACCAGAGACTGCGGACATAGTACAGGAGATGACAGAGTCTGCGGATATAGTACAGGAGATGACCAGAGTCTGTGGACATAGTACAGGAGATGACCAGACTCTGCGGACATAGTACAGGAGATGACCAGAGCCTGCGGACATAGTACACGGAATGACCAGAGACTGCGGACATACTACAGGAGATGACCAGAGACTGCGGACATACTACAGGAGATGACCAGAGACTGTGGACATACTACAGAGATGACCAGAGACTGCGGACACAGTACAGGAGATGAACAGAGACTGCAGACCTTAGGGAGCGGAAGGAGGGGGAGCAGGTACCCGAATTTGACAGGGACTCGCTCCCACTTCTGCGGAGTTGTCCTCCCTCCCTGTCTTCTGAGACACGTGACAGGTTCCAGAAGACTGCCGGGCCATTCACAAAGCGCAGCGCTTCTCGTGCATGCGCAGTGGGCACCCGGCTGTAAAAAGACCGCAAGCTGTCACAGCCGGGTGCCCACACTAAAGATGGGAGAGAAGATGGTGAGGACACCGATGAACTGACGAACAGGTAGGACCGAGGAGCAGGTTCTGCTGCACAGAAGAGCTAAGCGGCCAACCTGGTATTCTAACACGGCTGAGGCGGGAACACCGGGCCGCGGACGCTCCCTATATCGCTCCTTAAGACGCCCAGACATTTCCCCCCATTTTTTTGGGGGGGAAAAGTGCGTCTTATGGAGTGAAAAATACGGTAGTTACAAATTTTTTTCCCTATTTTAAACAACTATGAGCATTAAAAAAAATAGCTCAGAGTTGGACTATTTATTTGACTTCACTTTATTTAACATCAAATTTATATTCAAGTAATTGCCATAAATTACATTTATATGCAGTGGTGATGCAATAATTTTAGGTATGTACAGTACAGACCTCATATATGACATTGCGTAATGATATAGTCATATACTGAGCTTTTTTCAGCTGGAACTTGTGTGGAAACTTAGTTCTACCACCTCTGGCTCAGGTCCTCTGCTTATTGTTTACCACTATCACTTGTAAACCCAAAAGTCCAGCTTCTATGTTTACGAGTGACAACATGTCTCCCGGACATCTGCCATAAATATGATCTTCTGAGCGGCTCCAACTCCCCCCATTTAATGGTTGCTTTGCATGTGAGAGAGGTGGAGCCACCTACAGTGTTCGGGTAGGTACTGGAGCCAGCTGGGTGCTTCAGCTTAATAGTACTTGTAGATGGTAGAACTTTTAAAGAAGGGGGGAAAAGATGGAGGCAGCAGTTGAGTGAGGGTTGCATGTAGATGTCAGAACTAAAGAGGGTGTGAAAGTGAGATGTGGATGGGGGATGCATAAGTAAGCAGCTGTGGAAGAAATAACTCTGTATGCAGCACCCCTGAACTCTGCACTCTGTGTTTAGCACACCCATGAACTTTACACTCTGTATGCTGTGCACCCCTTTATGTAGCCCCCCCCCCCCCTAAGTCTGCACTCTTTATGTAATACACTCCTGATAATTAGTATTCCTTTAAGACCCTCCCACTGTTAGTGAAATTGACCACACCCACTATTTGATGTGGTTTGAAGGGTATGTGTGTGTGAGGGGTGCATTGGGAGGCCGTGATGATTCCCCACACCTATTTTCTGAGGAAAAAAAAGCCATGCTCATACATAACATTGCTTCACAGGCTTTAAATACACTTTTGTGGGGGTTCAATTTTAGGCCATGTAGTATTTAAAAAGTTATTAAAATTATGTATAATTTGTGCTTTTCTATCATTAGAATTCAAAAGGTGGAGGTGGATAGGTATGTACCCCCCATGGCTCTTTATAAACAGCACCAAATAAAAGCACTGCCAGGCAACCACCAAGCTTGTCCTCTGGTGTCCTCCATTCACAGTCACTGTGCACTCTGTGTCACTGTGTACCCTCTGATCAACTGCGATTAGTCATAGAGATATGGGTTCTGTTGCCAGGTTCCTTGCCCTATACCATCACTCCTGCTGCTCTCTCCCCATCAAGCTGGGCTCTGTCCATGATCTGTTCCTACACTGCAAATGCACTGAATGGTTCAGAAAGCACTGTTTAAGCACTATCAAGATGGCTGCCAATATCTCATGGGATTTTGTATTCAATTTGCATTCAATTCAAAGACACACCAGCCTCTCCAAGATGTCTGCCTGGAGCCCATGACAGGGGAAAACTGTGGGCCTCTATTTTTCAGCCTGAGAAGTGACACAGTGTCTTCTTCAGGGGTTGGCAGACATACTGCAGCATCGACTGCCTACACTTTCCCCTCTTTTAAGAGTTGCAGTCCTCGGCATATCAAATAACCACAACATGATATAAAAACAACTACAGTGATATAAATGTGTGTACAGAATGAAAATAGTGTTTTACAAAACATAGTCAGAATATATGACTGTCATGAGTCCTCTAATGGCCCCTTGCAGGCAGATGGGCTTCATTACCCACTCAAGGAACATCATCGACAGTAGGATCAGATCTGTAGTTCCTGAAGAAGAGGAAGGCTGCACATGCTGAGCCTCCGGACCTGCAGATTGAGTCTCTAGGTACCATTTTAAAGGAGCCTCCAGAATTTAGGGCAAACCTTTTATTTCTGGATCCACAAGAGCCATGGAAGATGGCAGGAGTCAGTGTACAAGGATGCAGTAGATTGTGATGTGTCTGTTTATGCAGCTGAGCCTGTTTATTAGGCACTTCATCATACACATGATGGTCAAAAAAGGCTGTTTTTCAATGTGGCATAGTTGGGGCTCCAATTTGGGCTCCAGCTAATTGTCCAGATTATGTTTAGGGTCATGCTGTAGGACCCCATCCTTAGGACATAATGGCAAAAAGTCAATTACACTCTCTACTGCTAGATTTTGGTGTAGTACCACCACCAACTGTTAGCTCTGTTAGGCAGTGCTAATTGTTTCTGAATCCATTAATCTGGAGTTCATTTTTGACACCCATTCAGGCACATCTAAAAGCAAATTAATCAATAGCCAGCTACTTTGTCTGAACTTTAGGAAGAAAGGTGTATACCTTGACAATTTGTGGACTGTCTGGTTGAAGGCTCAAACCACAACACCTATGTTTTGTCGCCAACAATCTCTTCAGAATCAATGTTCTTGTGCCAGGGTTCTAATCATTCCTAATAACGTCCAGTTGAAATGCTTGCATACTCTATTTCCTGATAGGTGATATGGGTTGGTATGCGATTTATGGATACCACTCTGCTGCCATAGTTCAGAAAACAACTCGTGACTCATAGTTAGGGCGGAACAATTGCCACAGAATAAGTAAGCCAGAGTTATTAACAATAAGTTGGATTTTGGCTGCTTAACAGGAAATTTCATACCTGAGAAATGTTGGGATCATTTTGCAATTCATTCCATTCTGCTAGGGTAAACATAGGGTATGTCAATGGATTATTGTTGGCGTAAATGTCTACCCTATCTCCCAAGAAGTATTTTACAAACAGGTATTTCCAGCCATACTAGCGCCAGCAGTTTCAGCTTGAAGAAGCTACATTTTATGTGGGTTACTCTCAGTCAACCATAAACATTGATTGGAATAGGCAATAACCTAAGTCCTTGGAAACTTCCACTAATATATACAAAGCAGAGTCTGGTGTAGTAGGCTTATGCCAGAAGCGGTGTGCAAGTTAGTCATTCCTTAAGAGCCTCAAAGGTTTGAAGGAGGTAAAGTTATGTGAGTTATACTCAGCCAGCTATAAGCATCAACTGGTGTAAGCAATGATACATTCAGCTCTTTCCTGCTCTTGGGCAAGAACAGCCCTAAGTTCTTGGACACTGCCATCAATATATATGTGAAAGGGTTTGTAGTGGTCAGCATACACCAGAAGTAGTGATAGCCTTAAAGACTTCTGCCTAGCCTGACTGCCAGCTAGACTGAATGGAAGGAGATGTTTAGCTTTCCGAGTGGGTAGGGGTGGTCACACAACAACGGTGTAAGGCAGTGGTTCTCAACCTTCCTAATGCCGAGACCCTTTAATACAGTTCCTCATGTTGTGGTGACCCCCAACCATAAAATTATTTACCCAGTAATTAGAATTCATGAAGTGTTTTACCTCCAATATTACTGCTTTCAGCACAGCAGCTGCTTTCTACACAGTAGCTGCTCTTTACACATCGGAAATATGTGTTTTCTGATGGTCTTAGGGGACCCCTGTGAAAGGGTCAGTCGACCCCCAAAGGGGTCGCGACCCACAGGTTGAGAACCACTGGTGTAAGGGATGGCACAATTTTGGCAAAATCAAAGATGAAACACTGGTAATACACCTTGAGTCCCACAAAGGATTACAGTTCAGTTACTGTTTTTGGAATCAGCAATCCTCTACCACCTGGGTTTTGGTGAAATTAAAAGATGCCCCTCTGGCTTCTATGACAATGTCCAGTACGGTATCCATTTCTGCATCAAATGGTACTTATTGGCCTTCAGCTTGAGTCCATATTTAGTGAACCTTCTGAAAACCAAGATGTTTGAGATAGTCTTCAAAAGTCTTGGACAGATTAGGACAGTTTTAAAGTTAAGGTCCCCATTCCATTGCTATCCACCCAGTCCCACACCAACATCTTCCTTTTTATGTGCTCAAGAGCTGGCTGTCTCTTCATGGTTGTTGCAGCTGGCGAGGCATATTCTGTAGATGAACTTGAAACCTCCTGGGATGCATGATGTGAAAATCTTAGGAGGCTGCAGAGAGCTGGGGGTATGTCATTCATGCCTATGTGAGAATACCAGAAAGATGGAGATAGGAATCTCAAGCAATCAGATAAACAAAAATTAGTATTCCCATTCACTCCACTGCCTCCCACCCCACAATGCTTGGGTGCAGTGCACAGATGTGCATTGGAGGTATGTTGCCGTAGTACATTTATTTATTTCAGGTACTTATATAAACACTGTCAATTTACACAGCACTTTACATATATATATTGTACATTCACATCAGTCCCTAATCCTCAAGGGGTGTACAATCTAAGGTCCCTAACTCACATTCATACATACACATAATAGGGCCAATTTAGACATCATCCAATTAACCTACCAGCATGTCTTTGGAGTGTGGGAGGAAACTGGAGCACCCGGAGGAAACCCACACAGGGACAACATGCAAACTCCATGCAGGAGGCGCCATGGTTGGGAATCTAACCCATGGCCCATTTATTGCAAGGCAGACATGCTAACCACTAAGCCACTGTGCCGCCCTACATTGAGATGATATTGAAAATATATGGCACCACAAATGTACCAACACATGCAAGTGCTTTGCTATGTGGTGTGGTAACGTGCACAATACTCCTCAAGGGGTAAATGTGAATCGGCCCTTAAAGTTTAAATTGAGGTATGTGTGGCAACTTAGAAAGGTCACCCAGGCATATCTGGTCAACCAATAAAAATACTCTCTTAATCTATGTCCACACTTTATAGAATGCAGCACATTAACCATGATATGTTTTTGGGCAATGATTCACCCATGAATGGACCACTCTGAGAAGAAGCAGTAAGTCACAAACAGGCACAGCTCAACCGTGCATGCAGCTTTCATGCCACAATGCTTCAACAGCCACAAAATGATTCTCTGAACTTTCAAAATCAGCTTATTTTTGGTCTCTGTACTGTAACAGATTCCTCCTTTCTCAATACAAAATGACACATAGGGGTTAATTTACTAAAACTGGAGATTGCAAAATCTGGTGCAGCTGTGCATGGTAGCCCATATGCTTTTATCTTCAGCTTGTTCAATTAGGCTTTGACAAGAAAAAGAAAACCTGGAAGCTGATTGGTTTTTATGCAGAGCACCACCATATATTGAACTCTCTAGTTTTAGTAAGTCAAACCCATAAGATTCATGTGCTATGAAATTAATTACCTGTTTTAAACGAAACAATAAAAAAAGTTAATGTGTTCATGTTCTTCCTGTTCATGTGTAGGTAAATACAGTATTTCATCGTAATGTAGATTCCACTAATGTATCCACAAAATTAGTGATGGAGTTTATTATCTTTGGCTTTCCGAGTCTTCAAAGTTTCAGTACTATCCTTTTCTGTGTATTTCTCTTTATCTACCTTTTCACTGTCACTGGAAATTGCACCATATTTCTCCTCATTATTCTGGATCAAAAACTTCACACTCCAATGTATTTCTTTGTCAGCAATCTCTCATTCTTGGACATGAGTTCCACCACAGTGACCATCCCCAAGATGCTTAGCAAATTCTCAATGCACAATGATGTGATCTCTTTTCTGGGCTGCTTCCTTCAGATGTATTTCTTTGTTGTTTGTCAAGCATCTGCGTGTTTTCTCCTGACTGTTATGGCCTATGATCGCTATGTGGCCATTTGTTCTCCCCTCCATTACCATAACATCATGGTCAGACAGCTGTATATTAGCCTAGCTTTGACATCATGGATATTAGGCTTTGCAAGTCCAATTGCAATGATCATACTGGCTATTAGGTTACCTTTTTGTGGTCCAAATATCATTCACCATTACTATTGTGACCACCCACCATTGCTTCAGTTAGCTTGTGCTGACACCTCGCTCAATGTGGTAGTAGGTTCCTCACTTAGTGCCGTTATACTTTTGTTATGCTTCTCCTTAATTGTGATGTCCTATGTTCAGATTATCAGGTCTGTGCTCAACATAGCATCATCCAAAGGACGTAGGAAAACGTTTTCCACCTGTGCCTCTCATTTTGTGGTGGTGAACATGTTCTACTTACCTTTGATTTTCATGTATGTTCGGCCAACTGCTTCTTACTCAGCTGATATAGACTCTCTGGTGGCTATGTTCTACACGGTATTGACACCTATGCTAAACCCCATTGTATATAGCTTACGGAATAAAGATATTAAGGATGCTTTTAGAAAAAAAGTATGTTGTATTGTACCTAATGTGTGTAAATAAATTAAAATCAAAACAATTGAAGTATATGTTTCCTAACTTACCCCTAAGATCTTTACGATCTTGTGTGTTCATATTAAAGTTCTCCATGCCTTTGACACATTTGGCTTAAAGAAAATGGAAAATAAATGATGAGTATAATGTTTACAGAATATATAACTATTCAATTTAAAAATACTTGATTCCCATTTCCGTTTAGAAGAAAAAGGCAACACTATAATATAAACACTGCCGCTGATTGATTGGGTTCTTCTGCTCCTGGAGACAATGATACGCTTGAGTAGTGCCTGAGCTCAGCAACACACCTTTGGACTGTTATCAGTTTTATTGGACAAGCCTGCCTGGCAGACACAGTTTATACAATTTCAAAGAATAGTCACTATAGCAATAGTAACCAGAATGCTAAACCAAAACACAGCAGAGAGTACTACTGGTTGGTCTGATGCTTTTAAGGGTTAAAGCACAGAGATATGCAATATTCAAGCAGAATCTTACATTTGGTGAGATAATTCTAAACAGTAATAAAGAGAAGACTAAACAGTGTTTAGTCCCTCCCTATTCCACTGGCCAGTTGATTCTACATATAGTTGGCTGGCATTGGGACCCTGAATCCACATGTTGAGTGCTCAACTAAAGTTCAAAAGGTTTGGAGGCCACAAGACCACTCATCACTCCTGATGATAGGCGTGCCCTCCAGAGATTTTGCAAGAGGTATGGGGATCCCCCTTCTCAAGCCGATGATGAATTGGGTCATGTTCCTCTCTCCCTCTGCAGTCCTCAACACTGGAACAGCAGTTGCTATTGTTTAATTTGGAAGCGTTGTTCTTCCGCACAGGAAGCTCAGATTCTCATCCATGGCTTGCTGGGCTTGCTGGGCTTGCTGGCAGATGTAGTCATTCTCCCCATGCAGTTGACTGTAACTTATAGTATATCAGTCAGTCCTCATGTGGACACATAGCACAACATATACAGACAGATCTGATTGTCCAAGTTCAATGTCTTCAACATTGCCGTACAGGCCCTGTATAAATGATAACCTTTACAGACATGGCAAGAATTAAAGTTACATGACAATAACCAATGTGTTTGAATAGGAGGGATAAAAACAACAAAACCACATCAATGCTCAAATTGCCATGGAGTAGGTTGACTCCTTACAACATGATAACTTTTAGTGTCATATGGAATTGTTTTACTGTACAGAGTGACCCCAACATAAGAGATGTACATAGCCTATTGCTTGGAAGCTTTAGAAGTGAATAGGAATACCATCAATGAAAGTTATTATACTGGTATTATACCGTATACATGACTCTTTTATTTTTATTTTTTTTATTTTATATTTATTTTTATTTTTTCTATGTGCTGTATTAGGTGAAGGAATAAGTATACCTGCTCAATTTTGACATATGAATAAGATATAGGGCAAGGGGCAGTTGTGGTTTTAGGGTTGTAGGGTTGTAGGGTTTACACACCAAAAGAAGGAAAAATATTTATATTTGGACAATACCTTCCTCCTCATCCCTGCTGGGCACTATTGTCCCCCCATCTCCCAGTGGGTACTATTGTTTCCTTTGCTAAGCCCCATTGTTTCCCCCACCCTTCACTGGGTGCTATTGTTCCCCTCCACCCCCCAATTGCACACTTCCCCCTCCACTGGTCACTATTGTTTCCCTTACACCACCACTGGGCACTATTGTTCCCCCACCTCCCACTGGGCACTATTGTTCACCTCACTAAGCACTAGTGCTCTCCCCAACCCTCTGCTATGAAAGGTTACTTCAAATGTACAGGAGTGGTATCCAGAAGATTAATTAACAATCTTCTTAAACATTTTAGTATTACAGTAATGTGAATTGGAGGACAAAGGTTTAATGCATATGACCTGCTAAGCAGGGATTCAATCGATGCTGTGTGTAAAAAAAACTCAAGTCTGCAAGTCTCTCATGCCCCCAAGTTTTTATCCAGAAGAAGGCAAAAATCCCAAGGCAACTGCTGTTAAATTTGTGTAGCACTTACCCTTGAATGGGCCCCTGTTTTATTGGGTCGCTTATTCCCAGCGATCACAACTCTCCAAACAGCACCATGCCCTCTGACACCCCAGGGCTAAAGGGTGGAAATTTATTGCAACACTGCACAAACATGTCAGCAATTAAAGAATGGAAAATAGTAATAAACACCTCATCAACAATGTGAAAAGGCTACAAAATAATATACACCCAGAAGTAAACAAATAGACCAGTGACAAGATCCTTATCCCTATTCTATAAGAGGTCCTGTCTAAGGGTAAATGCTAGGACGATGGTCCAGCAATCATTAGAAAAATGTATACTACTTGCTAGCAAATTGAGGCCCAAATCCTGCTTTGGAGCACTCAAAATTAAGTCACTCCAAACCCAAGTGTAAGTGTCTGGTGCCTCCACCATAAACAAAACTGTTCCTTTAAGTAGGGTGTGGTGGGGTATGGCCATCAATCTCTCACCAACTCCTGGGGTGATGACCTGTCTCCTCCCACTCCCCATGCGGGGGTTAATGATGTCAGCTGCAGTGAGTCCTCTCTACGATTAAAGTCATAATTGCTCCCAGCAAGCTCTGTCCTTCCCAGAATCCACAGGAGCTCAGTTTCCTCTTTTTCTGTTTCCCCCGAGTGAGGGGAAGGGTTTTCCTCCCGCTCTTTCTGCATGCAATCCTGAAAATGGTCAGTGCTCTGCTGCCCTCTTTTCTCCTCTTCTCACTGGCAGCCCAGGAAAGGGAGAATAGCTGCAATGCTGGTTATGTGTGAATTGCGGCATTATGTTTGACACTGCAGTGACAACCTGGTCTTATGCAGCTGTAGTCCAGGGAGTGCCTTGGACTGGGGCTACACACTCCCCCCATCAAAAGTCTTTGGTCCCCAAAAAAGCACCAGGGAAACCATTAAATACACAAATGGGAGCTTGATATACAATTAAACATAGCCAAGGAAACCATTAAATACACAAATGGGAGCTTGATATACAATTAAACATAGCCAAGGAAACCATTAAATACACAAATGGGAGCTCAATATACAGTATAAGTAAACAATGCTCTAACATTCTATTAACAGGTCTATTGGAAAATGAATGTATCTGCCAATTTTCTATCAGACATTTCAGCCAATGCAACCTCTCTCAAGGTGTCAGGAAATGGGCCAGAGTTGTTATCCATCAAAGCCATAGTGAAAAATACTTGCTATTATTGGGACTGTCAGACTGTGGACACAATCTCATCTAGACTTTGCCCTAGAGAGTCATAGGTAATTTATTTTGGTGGATGTATTGATCTTTTGGCTCTTTCTTCCTTTGGCTCAGATGATCCTTCTCTTGAGGACTCTTCATCAGGTTCAGAGGGTAGCTGAGGGGCTTCAGTTTCTTCTTCAACTGGCAAAACAGAAAGCACCTCCTGTCTTTCTGTTTCATGGGTCTGAAGTTCAAATTCAGGGGCTTTGGACCTAAAGGTCCACAGATTAGTCTCAGTAGCTGAGGTATATGGAGTGGCATCTGGATGGCCACAACCAATCCATGCAGATGTCTCCTTTTTCACTGCCTTCCTCCTCCTCCATGACTGGTGGTAAAGATTATGATTGTGTTACTGGTCTCTGCCTTAAAGAGGACACTTGGATGAATAAGCCTGTGGAGGCATTCAAACAGCTTATCTCAGAGGTGGAAGATGATTATGGGGACTGACCTTCAGTGGTATTCTCTGGCAGAAACAATTACCACTTGTCTTCAGGATTGTCCGAGGGGTGTTTGCTTTGTGTAGATTAAGGCTCTTTGCAAAAAAACAAGGAAGTATAAAAACCTCTGTAGTGTATATGAATTTGCTTTACTAAACAAAAATGCTATACTCACAAAATATGCATACAGTATACACATGCTTTCTATCCTTCCTAACAAATGCACATGGACTATATATGAAAAATGGATACATTAAAAGTTACTTGGGTTATAGTGACTATAGTGAAGTTTCTTTCTCTCAGTTGTCCTAGTGTTATCCCCAGGTCTCCTTCCAGACTGCTTGCTTCTCTGAAGTTCTTGAGAACTACTTCCTTTGTGTCCAGCACATGGCTGTATTCAAGTCCTCTTTTCCCTCCCCCTATTTCCTGCCAATATCTCTTCCTGTAACATGAACTCAGTGAACCAGTCCAAGACGTTCATTAGCATATGATTAGGGGAAGCCTAGCTTCTAAAAACAATACATGGTCTTAACATTTAATTTCCATATATTTATGTTAAAAAAAACCATTAAAACAGCCATAGCAACACAATGGGCCTCTTTAGTAGACTGCCCCCATCATGCAACTGTAGTTGACTCTACTCTGTGGACTTTGTAGACCAGACATACTTTTTTGGAGAGCTCACTAGCAAGAGCACTGAACATCCACTCCCCAGGGCTTCCATTGAAATAGTAGGCAGGTCTTTACCGCTTACTTCAGTAAAGTGACAGTAGAGCTTGAGAACTCCTGCAGCAGAGACTCCAATGGCTTTGGCTCTGTTAGCTCACTTGATGTGATGCTCAACACCTTGACATAAGGTTTGGACCCTTCCAACACTGGGTCTACTCTTTAGGGGGAGTCTTAGGGTCATTGGGTCTCCTTGACAGGTTGTCGGCATCTCTGTTTATGACTACTGGACAATACTTCAGGTTGAAGCAGAAACTAGATAGGGCAGCCAACTATTGATGTGTCTTGGTGTCCAACTGGACTGTGGTGAGTATGCTCGTAGGAAGATTATTATCTATCTTGACCTCAAAGTTCACACCATACAGATAATCTATTAACTTGTCCACCACAACCCACTTCAAGCTAAGGAATTGAAGCTGGTGTATGGGATAGTTATTTTTAGGGGATCACATGCAGAACAGGTTGTAGGTGTCTGTTGTAGTCCTGGTACAACACACCACCTAGCCCATCATGGCATCAACATGCAACTCATAGGGTTGATTGGATCAGCGTAGGCCAAAATTCTGCAGGTAAAACTTAT